ATTGCAAGTAGAGTCTGCCAGGTTCCTTACATTCCAGGACATATCCATGTCAAGTAGAGGACAAACAAAATTAATACTTGGATGTAGAGGATCATTCATGACTAAGCACATTTCTTCCTGCTCCACCTGCCTGCACAATTCCCTCCACACATCTGATGTCTAGGCCCTCGACCTGCTCCTTCTTTTCCAACTTAGGTTATACATTAGTGGTTGATGCTGACCAGGGGCATATTTCTCGCTACTCCTCCTTCTTTTTCTGAACTTCTCATCCCACCTTCAAGTTTATACTCAACCGGTCCCCTCACCCCTGCCACATTTCAGGCTCACAGGACTCTCTCCATTCCCCATTTCAGGACGGTAGCATTACGCCATCCACACCATTATTACACAGTGTCACACACAGTGTTGTTCCCTGTTTCCACATCAGTTGTTTGACACTATTTGAACATTTAGGTTAAAAGGAAACCTAATTTATATTCTCCCATTCTTTTTTCTAACAACATACATGCAATTTGCTGAACAACCATTCCTTTAATAACCCTCAAATCATGAAGGTTTAATGAATTGAGTCATTCAATAGATATTGATATTCGTTCTTCAGGGTAGAGAGCATATGTTATCTACCTGCTAACGCTGCTCTACACCACAGTTCCTTAATGTGAACCATCATCTGAAATTTTTACATGGACCCTGCAGGCTCATGTCAGGCACTGTAAGATTTGAGAAGTCTATACCCGTGGTGTTGATTTTGCTCTTTTTCTTTAATCCCTGCTGGTGCTTCTTTGGCTATTTATTGTCTAAGCAAATGTAGCTGGATCCTCTCTAGAGAATTACTGTAGTCCTGAGTGGACATTTTCAAAATCCCTGGTAATCACAAAACTCAGTCCCACACTTGCACATTAGGCAGAGAGTTTACTCTTTTTGTCCCTTGTCATTTTTACTTGATAAAATAATCTAAAGACATTTTGTCATGTGCTGTGTCAAAATTAAGTTTAAGGAGAAACCACTGAATGGGCCACTCTCTCGTCTTCGCTGGATTATTGCAGGACATATAAAGAGTCTTCCATTCACCTGAGAGCTAAAAGGGGAGTCCTGATAGAGGTTGTAGTCGAACGATATTTAAAAGTTTTCTCTGACCTCATTCATCAAGAGTTTCCCATCCTTTGTTCATCATGACAAAACCCTCTATCTCTACCAAAGGAGGCAGTGTTTTAAAAATAACATCAAAACACAATGTAGCACCCAAACTGGAAACTGAGATATTCCTGAAATAGATTAAGCTCAAGTATCAAGTGCAAGAGCTCCACCCGGTAATTCTTTATCTGAACTGTTGGGCTAAACCAAACTGTTTTGTTCTTTCACAAACACCATTGAAATGTGTAATTAGTCAGTTTTTCAGCTCTACCAACAATGCAGAGACAATATCGGTAGAGTATGTGTACATAATGAACTGATTACTAAGCGAATCTGAATCGGAGGTCGATGACCTAGCTTAAGTGCACATAAATTAGACACACATAATAACTACAAAAAATGGCAGACATGCAGACCCACATACACATGCAGAAGACTTTGCCAAAGGTACCTGTGAGAGGTCTATCGGAGACTGGTAAGCACAAACCAGACCAAGTACAAGTGTCAGCAGCAGGATCTTCATCCTTGGCTACTTGTTGGTTCCCTCTGCCGGAGGTGTTCAGACTGGGCTACCTGTTGGAGAGACTCAGAACCTTTGCCTTTTTATGTACTGCTTGCCTATGGGGTGGCTCGTGGTGAATTGGCCTACCATTGTTCGTAAGAGATCATTTTGCATCATCGAAAATAAACATCCTGGTGCATGGTGATGCATCCTGAAGGTCATCCCAATGTTGGCCTCATTCCCCGTTTTCATTTACTTGTACTAAACCTTTTCCTCCTGGGCCTCCAGCATGTATGAAAGGCTTTTTTCACCATCTGAGAACACTGTTTTGTGCAAATTATAAGTACAATTATGTCTTCACTAAGAATCTGTGTCCAAACTCCAGCAGATGATAATGCCTTGGATGACAGTCATCACTGGGTCGTTGCATCAGGACTTTGGTAGCTAGTTCCCTATCTTAGATGAAGTCTTAGCCCTCAATAATTACTTATACTATTTTAGTAATCAGTTATTATTATTAATTATTACTCTCAGTGTTGTTATTTAGATTCAGCCTCAGTGCTGTTGGGGACCAAGCAGAGGTGGTAACGGCTCAGACACAGAAGGGTCAAAGCTCACATCTCCTCAAGACACAGTAGCTCTGGGTTCCCTCACCTTTCCTCTGGCACTTTCTCTCTGGAAATCCACTCCTTTCTCAGCTTCTTGAAAGTCTATAAAGCCAAAAAAAAAAGCCCCACACACCCATCCATGCAGGGAGGGAAACATAAAGTGCAGCCCTTGAGATGCCTGTGGGAGCCACTCTAAGGCCAAGAAGTACACACATAGGTGTGAGTGGGGAAAACAGTTGGACAAGAATGGAGGCCATTTCACAGAGATTCTGCCAAGGCAGGGGAAGCTGAGCTCACAGGGGTTTCTGGGAGGTGACTGTGATATACGTACAGCCCAGGACTGTGAAATTTCACTTATCTTCTCAAGTCTTTTACGACCTTGGATGTGAGCAAGAAAGGAGTTATGCATTCCATTGTGATAAAGGTGCTAGTAGGCAAAAATTTACGTAGAAATTCATACTTATAAAACACCCCAATACTTTTTCCATGACTGTGTGACTGTGTGTGTGTGTGTGCACACATGTGTGTGTTTGTGTGTGGTTGAACACTTGTTTTTGTGAGACTAAAAATACAGTGACCAAGGCATTTATGTGATAAAATTGTTAATGTCCATTGTAGCCTTTGGAGCTCTTGTGACCTTCCTATGATGCTTTAGACAAAAGCTTCATTTTATATCCTCTCATTTTCAGAAACTCTACTTGACTACAACCCCATTCTGTAAGTTAGACACAATTGTCATGAAATAAAATAATGATTCATTAATAACATAATGTTAGTTAGAGAAAACTGGAAATTCATTACAAATAAAGTTCTGAGTCCTTCATGAAGTACATAGATATAATTAAATAGCTCATGTGTGTGAATGTTACATGTTGGCGTTTATTGCAAATATTCACTGAGTTCCAAACAGTGTACTTGTACGTTTATTTTAGTCCAAGTGAACAACTGCAATTGTCCATATTGATGACACTTCATTATAGGCAATTTGTGAACAATATTTATTTTCTTTTATCTTTCATAATCTTTATTCACATCCTGGCTATTGTGCTGTATGATAAACATACAAGAATAGTATTCTTCACAAAAGAAATATTATCTATAAGAACCTCATATATATGAATGTGTTTGTATTTATGTTTAAATTTATATATACACATATATCCATAGATATACCTTCCAGTTAATATGATAATTAAAAAGGAGAACTTTTACCTTCTTTTGTGTGTGTTTAAGGTAACAAGTTTTTATTTCATTCATTCATTTAAATATTTACTTATATTAGTCAAGCCATTACAGATATCCCCATTTTCCCCATTCACATGCCTTTACCCATCCCTTAGCCCCTTCCCTTTCTCTGTCACCACACTGTTGTCCATGTCCATGGGCCAGGCACACATGTTCTCTTGCTACACCCTTCCCCTCCTCTCACTTATTTCTCTCTTCTCCCTCCCCTCTGACAGCTGCCAGTCTGTCCATGTGTCTGTGCCTTTGTTTCTACTTCATTCATCAGTTTATATTGTTTATTCAATTTCCAAGATAAGTGATATCATATGGTACTTGTGTTTTGCTTGCTGGGTTATTTTGCTTAACATAATATTCTCCAGACTCACCCAGCTGCTGTAAAAGTTACACATTTCTTTATTGTCTTACAGATGTGTAGTATTCCACTGTGTAAATGTACCACAGCCTTTGTATCCATTCATCTACTGGTGGGCACTTGGTCTGTTTCCAAGATCTTGGCTTTTGTAAATAACACTACAATACACATAAGGGTGCACATATCTTTTCTGATGCTTTTTTTTTTCTTAATATAGTTCCAGAAGTGGAGTTGCTGGGACAAAAATCAAGTTCTGTTTTTAAGTTTTCGAGGAAACTCCATACTGATTTCCACAATGGCTGTTCCAGCCAGCTGGCCAGAAAAGATTGTCATGAAATACTCAAAGTGATGAAAAGCAAGTACCTGCAACCGTTGGGTACCTACAGTGCCCAGCAAAGGTATCATATGAAATGGAATGAGAAATAAAGAGCTTCCCACATGATAGCAACTGACTAAACCTGTCAATTCAGCAGCAGGATGACATTTCAGTTCAGGATCCAGGAAGGTTTTCTTCCAATAAAAGGAAACAGGACACAAACAAACAAGCTTCCCAGGAAGTGCCAACTCTATTGCCTGTTTCTGAGATTCAGGATGGAAAATAAATCACTGTAGAACTATGGAGTGTTCTCAGGGTTCTATTCTGAAGAAGACATTATTTCTACACTCTTGGGTTTTAAGAAAAGTTTGACAATTGTTGTAGGGGCCCCTGAGATGTGTATCTTTGAGATGAACATACAGGGAAAAGAGAACAGAGCACACACAAGTATTCTTCTCAAAGGTCACTTTCTTTGTCTCTGTCAAAAATTCTGAACATGCACTGCTTTAATAAGTCATTTCTGTTTATAATTTTTTTAAATAATTGGTACATATATTAATGGTGTCATATTGAAATGTTTTTCAAAAATTTGTCTAGTAGCTTTTTCCTTGTCTGAAGGCCTCACTGTGTGGCAGTGAATATGTCCACAGCCCTTTCCCAGGTGAAGCTGGTTTACACCTTTCCCTGCATCTCACCTCTAGGCCTCCTCTAGTCAGTCTTCTGTAATATTGATATTTATTTGTCCCTAAGACTATTGAAAAATCTTTTTCTTCAACAACTTTATTTCCAATGATATTTGTGTGTATTTTATGTTAAGCAAAATACTGCACAGACATACCTGGACAGAATTGTTCTTTAATCAGTTCATTGAATACACAGAAATCCAGTAACACCACTCAGGCTCTGAATGGTAACTGGAAGGGAAGAAAGAGAGTGAGTTCATGAAGAGAGACAGATGATGTTGGGCAGGAACATGGGGAGAATTTCTCCTGTGGTTGGTTATGTTCCATGGAGAAGACGTGTCTGGTTTCCAGAACATAACCTTGAGAGGAAAACAAGATTGACATTTCATTGGTTTGACAGGGTGACATCTTACCTAGGGAAACTACAGGATGTGGAGTGTGCAGGGTTGGAAGTGATGATAGTGGATCCCATAGAGAAGTTTCAGATGGCACTGGGTCCTCCCCATCTCTTTCTCTGTGTATGCCAGAGAAAGGGGGTGGTGGTTCCCTCTAGTGGAGAATGCCTTGAACCGCTGTGTTCAATGGATTTTATTGAAAGTGTTATCTGTGGGAGTTAGGTAGTAGGAATGTACAAGTAATCTCACTACATCAGTATGTTAATGTTTTACAGAGAATAGGTAATGTTTGAGGAACACAAAGAGCAGGAACACACCAATTTGTGTTGGTCCTAAATGAGTAAATGTAAGCGCGCCAAATGGTTAGGGTCAGGGTCTATGGATAATGTAAATTTCCTGCCCAGCATGAGCTGGTTATCATAGCTTTGAGAGAAAAACAAAGCATGCCTCAAGGAATTTACTTCTAGGCTTGATTTCTCCCATAAACCACCCAATCCAGTTTAGGGCTGCCTCTAGTATTGTTTCAAGTCTGAGCCAGGCAGGTGGAGCAGAACAGCCAAGAGATAAGGAGACTTTTCTCAGAATGAGGACTCTGCACATGACAAAGCCAAGGGGTGAGGGTCTTTTGCCCTTTCTCCATGTCCCCCAAGTCCTTCTCTAATGGTCCCTATGCAACTGTACCTGTCTTAGGTTTCCCTGGCCATCAAGGGGTTTTATCTCTCATTGACTAACCAGACATCCTCCAGGGCAAAGCAGGGTGATGTGAGGGAGGCAGGGGCTGTGTCCCTGCCAAGGGGACAGGTTTTGTCTCCTCAGCAGCCTATTTTCACAAGGCCTCCTTCCTTAGCTCCAGCCTTGGCGCCCTCTCACTTGTTGGCAAAACTACAGGCCCTGAAATGAGATGGGATGGTTCCCAACAGATACCTTTGGAATTTCTCCAAGATGTTGGTTTGGTGGGACCTTCCTACTCAGGAACTCATGATCTCAAGATAGGTGTTCATGGGGATAGGCTTTGTAAAATAGATATTCAAGGTCTCTGATTGAGTTACATTTCTGTCCTCTAATTCCTAAAGTTTCTGTGGCTTCTAAACAATATATTCATCCTGGAAACTAAAAAAAAGAAACATGCAAGCCTGGTTCTATGTCATCTCAGAAGCTATGTCCCTTTGGGAAGTTTCTAAATAACACAATTTAATCAAATTCCCTGCTGAAGCACTACATGTCAGATAGTGTGGCTGGAAAATCTCCCAGTGGCTGTCATGATTGTGTCAAAGGAGACTCTGTGTTTGCAGAAGTGGAGGTTCTCCTTCAGCCCAATTTCCCTAGAGGACTGATCCATACAGGCAAACCATTGAGTCAAGACCGAGTGGAAGACTATTGTTTTTTTCTCTCAGTACTGACTATTAGTAGTTTCTGCTTCTCCCATAAGACCAACTTTTATGTGTGACTCTCCTGTGTTAATGCTTAGTCAACATGACTCTGTCAGTATTAATCCATTTGCCTATTAGCCATTTACTGGTGCTCAGAAGAAACAAAATATGTGATGTCACAGGAACAAGTCATCTAGTGACAGAATTTCCTTGCTGGGACCCAACCTAGTTACCTGAAACATACAACACACGTGAAGTCAAAGGTGTGTGTATCAAATTGCTTGAGAGAACAGCATTAACAACAGCTCATTGATACTTACTGCCTCTGTGAATTGAAGACTCTGTTTTCATTTTCAGGACAGTTGTCTGTGGACAAAAGAAAAGAAAGAGGAAATAAAAGAACAGCCAGTCAGTACCATTTCCCAATGTATCCATGGATTTGTAATTTATTTTATTCAAATAACTGATGTTATAAAAAGATAATTTATGGAAGAGGTAATTTAAAATACATCATTTGTTTCCCAAGAGACTATTTCCATACCAGTTAAATGAGATACTCAAGAAAAAATGTAGTCACATTACCTAAATTGGCAAGATCCACAATATTTCCTTCTGGAATATTCTTTTCTAGCGTCAGCTCCTTGTATTTCTCAAAATCTACCTCATTCACATGATTTCCTTTGCCTGAAAATCACAACACAAGGAGTATGTATTTGTTCATTAGGAATGCCAAAAATTTCTGAATGCATGAATGAGAAAAAGTAATGAAAGTCAGGTCTTCACTTGGTGAAATGTGAAAGTTCTATATGTCATATGTAGCTCCTTCCAATGTCAATTGCCTCACTGAGACCCAGAAGCAGGACCCAGCCCAGGCCATCTGTGTCACGATGCCTGCTCCTGCCCCAGATGGCCATTCCAGAGACAAACAGGGATGCTGGGAATTTGGGGCCCCTTAAGCTAGAACTTTTACATTCTTCCTAGAATCTCTGTCTGACATCCCTGCCTTGACCAAAACACACTGAAAACTTGGTCTTGACCTTCCAGAGAACCACCCTTGCCCTCATGGTTGAGCAAGGCTAGGTGGTCTCTTATTAGACCAATGTTCTTCCCATAATTTATGCAAATAAAGGCCCAATAGCAACATGACTCATGCACATGTCTCAGTGCCCCTATGTTCTTTTTGAGCAGTTGAGATTATCAACCTTCATGAGACTGATGCATGGGAAGTGGTAAACATGATGGTTTATTTACAAAGCTTTTGGCCCAAGGTTTAGAACAGATTTAAAACCTGTTTTAAAATGGTGGTATTGGGGTCTCCCTGTACAGAGCCTGGGATTAAAATCTGTTGACCTCTTAAGAAGTAGTTACTTATAAGAAAGACTCAGTTTTTAAAAAAAATTTAAGCAGCAGGTGTTACTTCCAAGTGCCTGAAGATCTGAAGGCCCCACCTCTACTTGCTCCTCTTCCATCATCTTTGTAGGTTGGATTCCATGTCCCTTCACTAGGTGACAATAAAGTCTGCTTATCAATAATGAATAATGCCAGTGCAAATAGATTCTGTGACTATAAATACCAACGATAGAAATGTGAAATGAACATGACAAATGTGAGGATACTTACTGAGCATCACAGTAACCTTGGACACCTCATTATTCTCATCCACGTTGATTAAATATGCCACCAAAGATGTTTCTGATGCATAAATAGGCTCATAAAGAATTTTGCCTTCATCTGTGTGAGAGGAAGAATAGATAGCTTGATGGAGCATTAATGACCATTGCCTTCATTAGCCATAAATTAGATTATCTAAGCTCATTTAACATTTGGGAATAATACTTCCTATGTTGACATCTAACTCCAACAATGCAGTGAATGTTAAAATTGAATGTTAAAATCTTAAATAAGTAGAAAAGAACTTTCCATAATGTCCCCTTTTTATACTATATAACATTTCACCTTTTCTAGTCTTACTAAAACTATTTGTAAAGCCTGGGTTCTATTGAAGACAACAAATTCCTTAAACAACACAAACCTGAGTTATAGGCTGTGTTGCAGCCTATGTCAGCCAGAGAGGTCCACTCATGACTCAGGTAGATGGGAGAAAATACACAGAACTGTGAGGATGCTGGATATGCCTTCATTTGAGTGTGTCATGCAGGCCACAAGCTCGAGTCTATGTCTGTCCCCCAATGGGAAGCTCCTGCCTTCTTAGGTATTAGAAGGAATGAAGCTGGCTACAGGCCAAATGGTTAGGTAACAGCATGTTTCTGCATATGCTGGGCCACTGCACGCTATGGAAACCATTTATCGGACCCAGTCTCCAGGCTCTGAGCTCCAGGCTGAAGGCTGTGAGAACATGACTTTATCAGACCCCTTCAAGGCTGTGAGGGACTGTTGACCTTAGTTACCCAGAAACCTGGGTGAGGAAGCAACACTGCCTCCATTTACACTACATATGTATATTATCAAAGAGAAGAGTAAAAACTCCTTGTATTTCTCCTACCCCACAAACAGGATTGACTTTTCCTTGGTGGGGAAGTCAATTTACCAGTGGTAAAGTGGTGTAATTTTGGACCTATGCTGAGTATCCTTTGGACACACAAGGAACATTATTTAGGACCATTAACAATAACTTAAGAGAGAGATATCTTAACCAACATTCCCATTGCTTAGAACAAATACTTTGACTATGAAGAAGTCTGCTTGGTGTTTCATATCAATAGGACTTGTTTAAATTTTTACTAAATCAACCTTATATTGAATGGACTGAGGTGTTTTAAGATGACCAAAAGCATATTCATTTAATGTAAAATAACAAGGATCTCTAAAGTGCAGATAGGCCTATTGGACTTCACTCCTGAAAGTCATTTGGAAATACCATGAAACATTTTTACATACCTGAGAGCCTTATCCAATAAACATTTTCAAAGTGTGATCTTACCTACTGAGGAGCAGGCACAGCTGGAGGGGCCTTCAAGGCAATATCATTTAAAGTTATGCATGGCATAAAATTAAATTATGGGATAACTGAAGGACTTTTGATTATTGGTTGATCCTAAATTCATATTTACAAAGGTCTTGGAAGATATTGACAGCAACATTTCAATCCTAACATCTTTGTAGCCATAAAGAAACAGTACTTACAGTTAATGGCAAAAACATTGCCTTTTATCCGCTTTCCAGTGACAGACAATGGTATGCATTGTCCATTTATCCTGAAAGGAAAACATCCTCAAGTTGGGTGATCGAGAATAATAAAAACTTCCTATCTAAACAGGATTTTCACTGTATTGCCCTCCTACAACCCTGTGTCAGATATCCTTTAGGACCTATAGTCAATATGACATTGAAAAGAGAAGGAATATGTCATCCAAGACTACATGACTGTCAAATAACAAGGATGTCATCGTCTACATTTGGAATCAGAGGGTACATCCAAGTGGGCAACATCTACCAACGGGACATATTTACCACCAAATGCCTCCACATGTATCTTCAGAAATTATACCTTGTGAAATAAACTTCCTTTAGTTTCTTATATTTATGATTTTATAATTTATGCTTGAAAAAAATTGCCCCCCTTCAGTTCAGTTTGAATTCCTTCCCAATTCCTAACAGATTGATAGCTCTCTCTGTTTCCCAATATTTCCACATAACTTTCATTTTTCAAGGTATTTGGATGTCTAGAAATACATATTACTCAAATCTGTCTCATCCTATGGTTCCCCTTGATGTTTTCCTCTTTATTTATACAGTAAAATTTTTGTACATTTCAAGGTAACCCTTCTTCCAAACATAATTGTATATGCACATAAAGAATGCTAACACATAAAAATTAACAATGTCATTACAACCAATAACACAAATATTTAATGTTATGGGAACAGCACAAATTCTCGCAGCATAACTTGATGTTTTTGGACAACCTGCATTTCTTTGACTTCAATTATTTCTTCTGTTCGTTTACTGAGGATTTTCCCTTTAAACCCAAATTTTGATGTGGCAATAATTGTTCTTTCTGGGAAAATGATTAGCATATGTGACTATAGGTATTAATAATTTAGCAATAATGTTGTGTCTGTGTCTGTGACAGAGAGGAAAGACAAAGACAGCAACAGAGAGTGAGAGAAAGTGAGAGAGATGTGTAATTTCTAAAGTTTTCTTATTTGCTTTAACAGCATCTCTACTAATTGACATCATCAAATTGAAAGTGAGGAATTAAATTTGAGAATTAAATCTCAGGGTTCTTTTTGATATATCAAAGAGTTCATGGACAAGCATAATTGAAAAGTAGAATTGGACATCTCCTTTATTTTCAGGAGATACCCATATTTAAGTTGGGGACACTTAAAGCTAATAATTGCAGGAATAAGATCCTTCATGACTAAATGTAATTCTTCCTGCTATTATCTGTGTGCTCTATTCCCTGCACACATCTGATGCACAGGTCCCTGGCCCTGCTCCTTCTTTCCCAACATGAGATTTTACATCAGTGGTTGACACCAACTAGGGGCATATATATTTCTCTCTGTTCCTCATTCTTTCTCTGAACTCCCCATCCAAACTTCAAGTTCATGTTTACCACCAAATGCTTCCACATGTATCTTCAGAAATTATACCTTCTGAACCTCAAACTGTCATGTCTGCTTTGTCACTTTCCAGACTCAAGGACTGTCTTCATCTCTATTTGAGGATGGTAATTTCCACATCATATACACAATTATTATAGAGTTTCAAGACAGTAACATTAGCACAGTTGCAATTTACAAATCTTTCTCATTGGCTCTGTTTGAACATTGAAGTTTGAAAAGAAACCTTCTTTATGTTCTCTTATTCTTTATCTTAAAACATACCCACAATTTGCTCAACAACCATTCCATAAAATCTCCTCAAAGCCATGAAGATGTTAATGAATTGAGTAATTCATTATATATATATATATAAATTCTTCAGGGTAGAGATTATTTGTTATCTACCTGCTCACACTGTTCTGGACCACTGTTCCCTATACTGAGAACAGTCTTTTGCAATTTCTACATGGACCCTGCAGGCTCATGTCAGGCACAGTAAAGTGTGAAAAGTCTATATGCTTGTGGCTGCTTTTGTTCCTCTTTCTTTAATGAGATGATTTTTGGTGGCATTTCTATGGCTCTTTATTGTCTCAGCAAATGCTGTAAGACCATCTATAGAGATTTCTTATGAACTTCAGAGGACATCTCTAAAGTCCCTTGTAAGTGCAGAACTGAGTCCTACTTTTGAACATTACACAGATATTTTAGTGCCAAGAGAGAAGTCAGACCCTTTATCAGGGTTTGGCATTTAAACAGATTTTACTCCTTTGTTATTGTTACTTACTTGACAAAAACATCCAAAATAATTTCATCATTTGCCATGTCAAAATTAATAGCACAAGTAAAAACCCTGAATGGGCCATTCTCATTTGTCTTCTCCAGGTCACTGGCAGCCACATAAATGGTCTTCCATTCCCCTGAAAGCTAAAAACAAAGTCCCATCATAAATTGTAGTCAAAACTAACTGAAAAATTTCCTCTGACCTCATTCATCAAGAGTTTCTTATCCCAGGCCAACATCACCCTGATCCCAAAACCAGATAAAGACCCTACAAAGAAAGAAAACTACAGGCCAATTTCACTGATGAACATAGATGCTAAAATCCTCAACAAAATATTGGCAAACCGCATCCAGCAACACATTCAAAAGATTATCCACCACGATCAAGTGGGATTCATCCCAGGGATGCAGGCATGGTTCAATATACGCAAATCAGTAAATGTGATACATCACATAAATCAAAGAAAAGACAAAAACCACATGATCATCTCGATAGATGCAGAAAAAGCATTTGACAAGGTACAGCACCCATTTATGATCAAAACACTCAGCAAAATGGGAATAAATGGGGCATTCCTCAACGTAATAAAGGCCATATATGAAAAACCTACAGCCAATATCATACTCAACAGGCAAAAACGGAAAGCTTTCCCACTAAGATCGGGAACACGACAAGGATGTCCGCTCTCACCGCTTCCTTTCAACATCGTATTGGAAGTCCTAGCCACAGCGGTGAAACAAGAGAAAGAGATAAAAGGCATCCAAATAGGAAAGGAGGAAGTAAAACTATCATTGTTTGCAGATGACATAATAGTGTACATAGAGAACCCTGTAGACTCTACGAAAAAACTCCTCAACCTAATAAGTGAATTTGGCAAAACAGCAGGATACAAAGTCAACATTCATAAATCAAAGGCATTTTTGTACACCAGCAATGCAATAGAAGAAGAAGAAATCAGAAAAAAATATACCATTCGATATAGCACGAAAAAAGATAAAGTACATAGGGATAAATTTAACCAAAGACACGAAAGACCTGTATGCAGAAAACTATACAACATTGAAAAAAGAAATTAAGGAAGACACAAATAAATGGAAGCATATACTGTGCTCATGGATTGGAAGAATTAATATCATCCAAATGGCCATACTACCCAAAGCAATTTATAGATTCAATGCAATCCCTATTAAGATACCAATGACGTATTTCACAGAAATAGAACAGACATTTCAAAAATTTATATGGAACCATAAACGACCCCGAATAGCCAAAGCAATTTTGAGAAAGAAACACAAAGTAGGAGGGATCACAATACCGGACATCAAACTCTACTACAAAGCCACCATACTCAAAACAATCTGGTACTGGCACAAGAACAGACCCATAGACCAGTGGAACAGAATAGAAAGCCCAGAAATAAGCCCAGGTCTCTATGGACATCTAATATTCAACAAAGGGGGCAGAAGCATAAAATGGAGCAATAACAGCCACTTCAACAAATGGTGTTGGGAGAGCTGGATGGCTACATGCAAAAAATTGGAATTGGATCATCAGCTGACACCATACACAAAAATAAACTCAAGATGGATAAAAGACTTAAATATAAGTCACAACACCATCAAAGTCCTAGAGGAGAACATTGGCAGGAAACTCTCAGATATCCCACGCAGCAATTTTTTCACTGATATGTCTCCTAAACCAAGGGACATAAAGGAAAGAATAAACAAGTGGGACCTCATCAAAATAAGAAGCTTCTGCACGGCAAAAGAAAACATCAGCAAAATGAAAAGGGAGCCAACCATTTGGGAAAATATATTTGCTAATGATACATCAGATAGAGGTTTGATCTCCAAGATATATAAAGAACTCACTCGACTCTACTCCAAGAAGACAAAAAATGGGCAAAGGACCTGGGCAGATGCTTTTCTAAGGAGGAGATACAGAGGGCCCAGAGGCATTTGAAAGGATGCTCAGCATCACTAGCCATCAGAGAAATGCAGATCAAAACCACCATGAGGTACCACCTCACACCGGTCAGAGTGGCCATCATAAACAGATCCACAAACAACAGGTGCTGGCGAGGCTGTGGAGAAAAGGGAACCCTAGTTCACTGTTGGAGGGAATGCGGACTGGTGCAGCCACTATGGAAAGCAGTGTGGAATTTCCTCAGAAAGCTGAAAATGGAACTGCCTTTTGATCCAGCGATTCCCCTGCTGGGACTATACCCTGAGAACACCAAAACGCCAATACAAAAGAACCTATGCACCCCCATGTTCATAGCAGCACAATTTACAATAGCCAAGTGTTGGAAGCAACCTAAATGCCCATCACTAGATGAGTGGATCAAAAAATTATGGTACATATACACAATGGAATACTACACAGCAGAAAGAAAAAAAGAAGTACTAAACTTTGCGACAGCATGGATGGAACTGGAGAGCATCATGCTAAGCGAAGTAAGCCAGGGGGCGAAAGACAAATACCATATGATCTCACCTATAAGCGGAACCTAACCAACAATGCAAAGAAGCAAGGAAAATATGACCAGCAACACTGAAAGGAAAAGAAATCAACAGAGACAAGAGGGAAGGGGGGACAGGGAAAGGGAAGGGAAGTGGAAAGTCAAGGAACATATAGCAAGGACTCATGGACAAAACCAAAGGGGAAGAGCTGAGGGAGGGAAGGTGGCAGGGGCAAGGGAAAGAGGTGGGGGGGGAGGCAGAGACAAATGTATTTAAATAGTAAATAAATTAAAAAAAAACAGAAAAAAAAGAGTTTCTTATCCCTTGTTCCTCATCACAAAACCACCTCTATCTACCAAATGAGGAAGAATTTTTAAAATAATGACAAAACACAATGTAATAGAAAAATTTGATATTGAGATATTCTTTTTTTTAAAATTAATTTATTTACTTTTTAAATACATTTGTCTCTGCCTTCCCCCCACCTCTTTCCCTTGCCCCCTCCCACCTTCCCTCCCTCAGCTCTTCCCCTTTGGTTTTGTCCATGAGTCCTTGCTATATGTTCCTTGACTTTCCCCTTCCCTTCCCTTTCCCTGTCCCCCCTTCCCTCTTGTCTCTGTTGATTTCTTTTCCTTTCAGTGTTGCTGGTCATATTTTCCTTGCTTCTTTGCATTGTTGGTTAGGTTCCGCTTATAGGTGAGATCATATGGTATTTGTCTTTCGCCCCCTGGCTTACTTCGCTTAGCATGATGCTCTCCAGTTCCATCCATGCTGTCGCAAAGTTTAGTACTTCTTTTTTTCTTTCTGCTGTGTAGTATTCCATTGTGTATATGTACCATAATTTTTTGATCCAATCATCTACTGATGGGCATTTAGGTTGCTTCCAACACTTGGCTATTGTAAATTGTGCTGCTATGAACATGGGGGTGCATAGGTTCTTTTGTATTGGCGTTTTGGTGTTCTCAGGGTATAGTCCCAGCAGGGGAATCGCTGGATCAAAAGGCAGTTCCATTTTCAGCTTTCTGAGGAAATTCCACACTGCTTTCCATAGTGGCTGCACCAGTCTGCATTCCCACCAACAGTGGACTAGAGTTCCCTTTTCTCCACAGCCTCGCCAGCACCTGTTGTTTGTGGATCTGTTTATGATGGCCATTCTGACCGGTGTGAGGTGGTACCTCATGGTGGTTTTGATCTGCATTTCTCTGATGGCTAGTGATGCTGAGCATCCTTTCAAATGCCTCTGGGCCCTCTGTATCTCCTCCTTAGAAAAGCATCTGCCCAGGTCCTTTGCTCATTTTTTGATTGGATCGTTTGTCTTCTTGGAGTAAAGTCGAGTGAGTTCTTTGTATATCTTGGAGATCAAACCTCTATCTGATGTATCATTAGCAAATATATTTTCCCAAATGGTTGGCTCCCTTTTCATTTTGCTGATGTTTTCTTTAGCCGTGCAGAAGCTTCTTATTTTGATGAGGTCCCACTTGTTTATTCTTTCCTTTATGTCCCTTGCTTTAGGAGACATATCAGTGAAAAAATTGCTGCGTGGGATATCTGAGAGTTTCCTGCCAATGTTCTCCTCTTGGACTTTGATGGTGTTGTGATATATTTAAGTCTTTTATCCATCTTGAGTTTATTTTTGTGTATGGTGTCAGCTGATGATCCAATTCCAATTTTTTGCATGTAGCCATCCAGCTCTCCTAACACCATTTGTTGAAGAGGCTGTTATTGCCCCATTTTATGCTTCTGCCCCCTTTGTCGAATATTAGATGTCCATAGAGACCTGGGCTTATTTCTGGGCTTTCTATTCTGTTCCACTGGTCTATGGGTCTGTTCTTGTGCCAGTACCAGATTGTTTTGAGTATGGTGGCTTTGTAGTAGAGTTTGATGTCCGGTATTGTGATCCCTCCTACTTTGTGTTTCTTTCTCAAAATTGCTGCGGCTATTCGAGGTCGTTTATGGTTCCATATAAATTTTTGAAATGTCTGTTCTATTTCTGTGAAATACGTCATTGGTATCTTAATAGGGATTGCGTTGAATCTATAAATTGCTTTGGGTAGTATGGCCATTTGGATGATATTAATTCTTCTAATCCATGTGCACGGTATATGCTTCCATTTATTTGTGTCTTCCTTAATTTCTTTTTTCAATGTTGTATAGTTTTCTGCATACAGGTCTTTTGTGTCTTTGGTTAAATTTATCCTTAGGTACTTTATCTTTTTTCGTGCTATATCGAATGATATTGAGATATTCTTGAAAAAAGATTCCACTCTGTTATCGAATCGAAGAGCTGCACCCAACAGTTCTTCACCCAAAGCACCTTCTGTTTTACAAACACCATTGAAATATATAACTAGTCACTTTGTTGGCTCTACCAACAATGCAGAGATAATACCAGTAGAGTAATTGTATAGAATGAACTGATTAATACAGTGATTCTGAGTTGGAGGTAGATGGCTGGGCTTAGGTGCACATAAATTGGACACACTTATAACAGCTCCAAAAAGAACAGGTGCACAGATGCAAAAACACACACACACACACACACACAAGACTTTTCTCAGTTACCTGTGAGAGGTCTGTTGTAGACAGGTCAGCGCAAACCAGACTGAGTACAAGAGTCAGCAGTAGGACCTTCATCCTTGGCTTCTGATTGGATCCTCTGCTGGAGGTGTTTAGAGTGGACTACCTGTTGGAGACACTCTGAACCTTTGCTCGTTTATATGTCTTTTTCCTGTACAGGTGGCATGGGGTGAATCCACCTATCATTCATTGTAAGAGATTGTTTCATAACATTGAAAATAAACATCCTGGTACACAGTGATTAGTCCTGAATGTCGTCATGAACTTGGACACTTTCCCCATTTTTCTCTTGCTTGTAAGGCACTACTGTATGGATATCCAACCATTCAAAGAAAATAAACTCTCACTTGCCTTTCATTGGATGAATTTCAAGGAAATCACCTTCTTGACTCTAGCACATCTTCTCCCTGTTCCTTGTAGAAAGACAGGAATGTATACTTTGTGTGTTTTGGGAGTCATGAGCTCACAGATGTGAACGCTAAGACTCTGGAGTGCAAAGGTCTGGTCTTGGCTCATGCCCACGCTCAGACATGGGTGAGTGGTTGCTGCAGGGTGCTCCATTTTGTGGGCCACTTGACACGGTTTGGAGGGTCCATAGTGTTTGTTTCCCTATCGCATTGTTGTGAATATTTCATCATTTCAAACATATGGAATGGTGGTGGCAGAGTGCTTCCTTAGCTGGGAGGACATATCTGAATCCAGTTATTATCTGTCAAGGAAATCAAGATATCAGTCCATAAAATAGGGTCATTTTGGAAGATGCTAGTACTACCAATTTCTTCAAAATTAAGTGAACATGTTCATCATTTCCACAACATTAAACAGTGAACATGAATTTTACATTACTTTTGTTTTTACAAGTGTCCACTAAACTTTACACATTCAAATAATAATACTCCCTCCCCAGTGGAATTTTGAGATCTTGTTGTAAGCATCTTCAACTGCATGCAATGTTAATACTTCAAATAATAGTCCACCTGGGTTTTGTGCATACAAGAATGTGTGCTTTTTTCACCCACTGAAAACATTTTTTTTGTTCCAATTATCAATACAATCATGCCCCCACTAAAAATGTGTGTCCTAGGCAAACTACACAAGAGGATAATGACTTGGATCACAGTTATCACTGAGTCATTGCAACAAGACTTTCGTAGTTAGTTCCCTGCCGTACTCAAAGTGATACCCCTCAATAATTGCAGTTATTATTATTAATTATTACTATCTAATAATTAGTGTTGTCCTTATTTAGATTCAACTTCAATGCTGTTGGTGACCAAGTGGAGGTGGTAACAGCTCAGGTACAGAAGGGACAAAGCTCAGATCACCCCATGACACAACAGTTCTGGGGTTCCTCACCTTTCCTTTGGCACTTTCTCTTAGGAAATTCAGTTCTCTCTCAGCTTCCTGTAAGTCTGTAAAGCCAAAGAAAACCCAACACACCCATCCATATAGGGAGGAAAACATAAAGTGCAACTGCTGAGATGCCTCTGAGAACTTCTCCAATGCTAAGAAGTACACGTGCAGTTGTGAGTGGGGCAAACAGGTTGGGGACAGGAACCGAGGCCATATGGCAGCAATTCTGCCAAGACAGGGGAGGCTGAACTCACAAGGGTCTCTAGGAGGTGACTGTGACATAGGTACAGCCCAGGACTGTGAAACCTCACTTGTTCTCTAAAGTCTGTAATAGCCTTGCAGATGAAAAGGAAAGGAGGAATGCATTCCATTGTGACCAAGGTGCTAGTCAGCAAAGACAGAGAAATGGATACTTGTAAAAAAACCCAACACTTTCACTTTGACTGTATTAGTGTATGGGTGGATGTATGCGGTTGAACACCTCCTTTTCTGTGATTAAAAATACCAAGTGGCCTACGCATTTATGTGATGAAATTGCTAACGTTCACTGTAACCTATGCTATCCATTGTTCTATACTGCTTTTGATATAACCTTAATTTTGTACCCTCTCTATTTCAGAAACTCTACTTGACTAAAACACCATAATGTTAAGTAAAACATAATTGTGATGAAAAAAAAATGCGTTATTAAAGGTATATTTTTTTAGACATAATGACAATTCATTACATACAAGATTCTAAGTCCTCCATGAACTGTATATATTAAAATAAGTAGCTTATGTATATGAATATTACACATTGGTGATTTTTGCAAGCATTTATTGTGTACAAACAGTGGAACCTATACATATTTTTTAATCAAAGTAAACAACTTGAGTGTCAACATTACTGAGTGAAACTTTCTTATTGGAAATTTGATAAAAAACTGTTCATTATCTTTTTAATAATCTTGGTCTACATTCTGGCTATGTGAGGTATATTAAACATAAAAGAGTATACTTTGCAAAAGGTAAACTATACATAAGTACCACATATATGTATATATGAATGTGTATATATATATGTATATATATCTCTCTCTCTCTATATCTATGACTCTCAGTTAATATCATATTAAAAATGAGAACTTTTACTTTCTTGTCTGTGTGTTTTGTTTCAGGTAACAAAATTTTACTTCATACATTCACTCGTTAATTCATTCATTAAAATATTTATTTATATTGTTTAAGCCATTACAGTTGTCTCCCTTTTCCGCATTCGCTCACCTTTACCCATCCTCCACCCCCTTCCCTGGGTCCATCACCACACTGTTGACTGTGTCCATGGGTCAGGCACACAGGTTCCCTTGCTACACCCTTCCCCTTCTCTCACTCATTTCTCTCTTCCCCCCTCCCCTCTGACAGCTGTCAGTCTGTCCATGGGTTCATGCTTTTGTTTCTATTTCATTCATCAGTTTGTGCTGTTCATTAGATTTCCCAAATAAATGAGACCATAAGGTATTTGTCTTTCAGTGGTTGGATTATTTTGTTTACTATGATATTCCCCAGGTACATCCATGCTGTTGCAAAAGTTAAAAGTTTCTTTATTTTATACTGCTCAGTTGTATTCTATTGTATAAGTGCACCACAGCATTTTTATCCACTCATCTACTGGTGGGAATTTGAGTTGTGTTCAAGATCTTGGCTTTTGGAAATAACACTACAATAAACATAGAGATGCATAAATCATCACTGATCATTTCTTGAGTTTATTAATATATTCCCAGAAGTGGGATTACTGGGACAAAAATCAAGTTTTGTTTTTAGTATTTTCAGGAAACTCCATATTGTTTTCCACAATGGCTGGCCAGGAAAAACTGTCATGAAATATTCAAAGTGATGAAAATCAAGTACCTGAAAGCAAGACTACTTTAGGCAGCAGAGCTATCATTTAAAATGGAAGAAATTGAATGAGACATGAAGAACACCCCATGTGTCAATCACAGCCTAAGACTCTCAAATCAGCAGAGAGAAGACACTTCAGTTTACGATCCAGGGAGGTTATCTTCCAGTAAAAGGAGACAGAACACAAACCAGCTTCCCAGGAATTGCCAACTCGATCACCTGTTTCTATGTTCCATCATAGAAAATAAATCAGTGTAGAAGCACAGAGTATTCTTGGGGCTCTATTCTGAAGGAGACACTATTTCTACAGACTTGGGTTTTGAGAAAAGTTTGACAATTGTTGGAAGGGCATATGAGATGTTCATCTGTGAGATGAACATACAGGGAGAAGAGAACAGAGTGCACACAAGTGTTTTGAAAGCTCATTTCATTCGTCCCTGTGAAAAATTCTGAACATGCCTTCTTTTAATAAGACATTTGTATTTATAAATATTCTGAAATAATTGGTACTTACATAAATGGCATCAGGTTGAAATAATTAAAAAAAATAATTGAACTGTCTGGTAGCATTTTCCATCTCCAAAGTCCTCACCACATGGCAGTGAATGTGTCCACAGCCCTTTCCCAAGTTTATACCTTTCCCCACATATCTCTTCTAGGCATCCTCCACTCAGTCCTCTGCAAAAATGATGCTTATGTGGCCCTGAGGCTATCAAAGACATATTTTCTTACACAGCACTATTTTCAAATGATATTTGTGCATATTTTACATTAAGCAAAATGCTACACAGACACACAGGCAGGCTGGCTCTTAAATCAGTTTATGTGAACAGAAACCCAGTAACACCACACGGTGTGTCAATGGTGACTGGCAGGGAAGATAGAAAGTGAGCTCATGATGGGAGATAGACGATGTTGGGCAGAAACAAGAGGTGAGTTCTTCCTCCTGTTGATAGGGTTCCATGAAGAAGATGTGCTTGGTTCTCAGGACATAGTCCATGGGAGAGAAAAACAAGAGTGAAGGTCAGTTGAGTGGACAGGGTGACACCTTGACAGGAGAGACTGCAGGACATGAGGTGTGAAGGGTAGATAAAGATGATAGTGTATTCCATGAACAAATTCCAGGCAGCACTGGGTCCTCTCCATCTCTGTGATGTGGGAGGGTGGGTTTGGAATTTCTCCAGGTTGTAGGTTTGGTGGGACCTTCCTACTCAGGAATTCATGGTCTCAAGACAGATGTTCATGGGGATGGGCTTTGTAAAATAAATTTGCAAGGTCTTTGATTGAGTTACATTTCTGTCCTCTACTTGCTAATTTCCTTCTGCTTCTAAACATTATATTCATGCTAGAAGCTTAAAAAAAACAAAAAACAAAACAAAACAAAACAAAAAAACATATTAACCAGGACATGTGTCATGTCAGAAGCTATGTCACTTTAGGAAGTTTCCAAAACCACAGTTTAATCAAATCACCTGCTGAAGCACCACATGTCAGATAGTGGGGCTGGGAAATCTCCCAGTGGCTTTCTTGATTATGTAAAAAGAGGCTTGTCTTGTGGGCATGGGGGTTCTTCTTCAGCCCAATTTCCCTGGTGGACTGATCTATATGGACAAACAATGGAGTCAAGAGTCAGTGAGGACTCATGCTTTTTCATCTTCAATACTGACTCCTGGTAGTTACTGCTGCTTTTTCAGAACCAAATTTTCTGTGTGACTTCTTTATGTTAAAGCTCTGTCAGCACAGCTCTGTCAATTTGAATATGCTTGTCCAAGTAGCCCTTCAATGGGGCTCAGAAGAAACAAAATATGTGATATCATAATAACAAGTCATCTAGTGACAGAATTTCTTTGCTTGGACAAAATGTAGTTAT